AGCCGTCATTGTTGTTTGGCGGGTCCGGGCTGGGGATTCGAACCCGCCACCTTAGGTGTACGTGGCTGGTGCCTTAGCCTGTTGAGCTATAGGCGCCGAGCCTTTCTTTTCTTTTTTTGACACAGAGTCTCACTTGTCGCTCTTGGTAGAGTGTCATGGCATCTCTAGCTCATAGCAACCTCAAACTCTTGGGCTTAAGTAATCCTCCTGCCTCAGCCTCCCACATATCTGGGACTATAGGTACCCATCACAACACCCGGCTAGTAGATATGGGGTCTCACTCTTGCTCAAGTGATCTGCCTGAGCTCAAGTGATCCATCTGCCTTGGCCTCCCAGAGTGCTAGGATTATAGATGTGAGCCACTATGCCTAACAGGAAAGCCTCTCTGAAGAGGGATGATCTCAAGTATGACAGAACGCCAGACATGTAAGAATCTGAGGGACAGTCTGCCTGATGGACAGAACGACAAGTGAAAAGCCCTGAGGTTTTAATATTCTGGGCCAGTTCTAGGAACAGAGGAGGTTGGTGTGGTTGGGGCAGGTAGAGACAGAGGAGGGCAGAAAGGCTGCAAGGGGAGTTGGAGGGCAGGATGAGGGGGTGAACTATAGAGCACTAAGGAGCTATGGAAATTGTATGAGCAAGGGTGGGCTATTATCTGATTCAGGATTTTCAGAAGACTCTGTGGCTGCTGTGGGGAAAAAACTTGTTAGGACAGGAAGTGAGGACAGCATCCAGGAGGAATGGGGCCTGGAGTAGGCCAGGCTGCAGGCTGGGACAGTGGTCATGGCAAAGTGGGGTCCAGGGAGGGGTGTGATGGTGGTAGAATGGAATCTCACCTCTACGTAGGTGAGATACCTTATTCCATCCGACCACCATCACACTCCTCCCTGGACCCCACTTTGACCCTTAGGTGAATCTGGATCTTGAGGAGAACACCCAACAGTAGATGGTGGGATAGAAATGGTCGTAGATGGGGTTCATGGGCATCTCCACGTGGTCCTAGTTCTGATGGCACCTCCTATTACTGAGTACCTACTGTCTACATGAGTGCACACCCTACTTCATTTACACACCTGCCTGACCCACAGACAGCCCACGGAAGTGGAGACAATTGCCCCTATTTTCACAGGAAGAGGCAGGCTTCTTCTTAGGGCCACATGGTGAGATCCCCAGATCCACACTCAAGCCTAGGCCATCCCACTGTACTTCAAGCTAGCCACACCCAAGTTACTGCACCTACTCAGTCTGGGAAGTGAGCCTGGGATTTTTCCCACCCAGAATAACCATCAGAATTCAAGACACTCATTCCTGGGCCCAGGGGGGTCAGGCAGTCACACAAGCCCTCAAGACACTGACCCAGGGAGGCCTTTTGGGGGCTGAGAAAGGAGACTTAACTTCCATGTACCCACCTTGGGAATTCACAGGCAGGGATAGGGTGAATTCCCTAACTGCTGCAGGATCCCAGACACATTCTAAACCCTCTCAGAAAAATGACATCTGGCTTAGAGAGGTGGTTAACGCCTGTAATCCTAGCACTCTGGGAAGCGAAGGTGAGTGGATCACCTGAGCTCAGGAGTTCAAAACCAGCCAGAGCAAAAGCAAGACCCCATTCTACTAAAAATAGAAAAATTAGCGGGGTGTTGTTGTGGGATCTACAGTCCCAGCTACTTGGGGCAAGGGAATCGCTTGAGACCAAGAGTTTGAGGTTACTGTGATCTATGATGCCACAGCTCTCTGTCTCCAGGTTTATATGTGCCTCAAATCTTCCAGAAGCCCAGACCCACAACATATCTACACTCACCACCTCCGAGTTGGGGCAATGAATGATTTTAATTCCCTTTCTCCTCCTCATTTGCATTTTCCAGGTATCTACCTGGTTGGGTCATGATTTAACCAAATCATTTGATGGAGATGGGAAGCCAAGATTGGACTCAACTTGCTCAGGTCACAGGAGCAGTCATGGAGCTCAGAGGGGGGTGGAAACCTGTTGGAGGTCACACAGAGAGGAGGGAAGGGTAGCTGGGCCCTTCACCCCTGACTTCTCTTCTCTCAGGGGACTGAGGAGTGGCCTTGAACCATTTTTCCTGAGGGACCTGGGTGTCCCTACTTGGTCTCTATCTTCACTCCTGCAAATATGATTCCAGCTTTCACCAGTGAGACTCAAACCCCCTAAATATCCTGAAATTCTGTTTCCTGGAGGCCAAGATTCTCTCCTCAATTCCAGTAGGCAGTGGGCAAAGATAGGGGATGGGAGGGAGGGAGGCTGCTGTTCAAGGAAGCCCCTGTGACCTCTGTATATCAAACCTTGAATGCTGGTCCTTGCAAGCCTAAATACCTTTTTTTTTTTTTTTTGTTGAGACAGAGTCTCAAGCTGTCGCCTTGGGTAGAGTGCTATGCTGTGGCATCATAGCTCATAGCAACCTCCAACTTGAGCTCAAATGTTTCTCTTGCCTCAGTTTTTCTTTTCTTTTTTTTTTTTTTT